GTGAGGATTAAGCGGTGTATAGATAATGGATGGATGGATGAAGAAGGATCAATCTATAAAATATGAAAATGTGAGAATTTCAGAGTCAAAGTAATTAACGGTTAAAACCATCAAAGACTAATGATCATATCTGATGAAGACCAAAGACTAAAAACTAATAAAGACTGAAAGAGGAATTCACTGGAGGGATTGATAAACTTCATCTGACATTAATAGAAGATTCATTTAGTGACTATCTTTGATGGTCTGTTTTTAACATGATGGACCCTCACAGGTTGATCATCACTCATTTCATCTATGCAGCAAAACCAAAGATTCTTCTTGAACATTATCACTGAGTAAATATGAATGTTTATCGCATATTCACTGTGGGAACAAAATAAAAAGCGATCTTGTTTAAAGTCATTTCTGGTAAAAACTCTATCTCATTCTCGCCCTCTTTGTGGCATTTTTGTGACTTCCTCATTTTTAGGTGTAGTTTTCAGTGCTTCTCTGAAATGTAACCTCACTTTTGAAGAACTTGACTCCTCTGCAGACCTCATACAACATGTAAGTCATCATACCTTCAATAATACACAATTGAAGATTAAAACCGAACAAAAGGACAGCATGATGTTCTATGAGTCCTTGAAATACTTCAGATTAATGATAATATTGACAAAGTTAAAGGTAAAATGGTGGGACTTTCATTGCAGCTGATGTTTTTGACATTTTGACACTTTCAAGCTGTCAGTCCGTTGGGTTTTATAGATTGTTGCTCGTGAGTGTTTCTTTGTCTAATCCTGAACACAGATTAAGAGATTAATTTATGTTGAGATTAAAAAAAAAAAAAAAAAAAATAGAACAGTTAAATAAATGTCAGAAAATGTTTCTAACTACAACCATTTTGACTTCCTCTTTTTTTTTTTTTACTGACATTTTGTGTTCTGAGCATTTTTACATAAAAGCAGTTTATTGTTTGTGCATAATATTCCTGCTATGACTTTGGAGAGCTGAACATTGATCTCTGCAGTCAGATTATATGTCAGCTTTAGCTTTTTACTAAATTGTCCTGATCACAGTTATTAATTAATGCACAAATTCATTTAACTGGTACATACAGGTTTAGAGACTCATTATTCTAAAAGCAATATTGATCCTCTGTTTCCTCAAGTGAGTGAAAGATATTTGCTTCTGAGAGTAAAATAAATCTTGAGATTCAGTTGACAAATAACTGAAATGATCCTTTGAGTGACTTTTCATTTAATTTAAGATAAAATTACTCTAGCAGACGCTTTTTTTCACATTTGTAATTATTAGTAAAAAAGACAAAAGAGTTTTTTGGTAGAAATCTTAAAATATCACATTTCAAACTGATGTTTAACGACTTAAAGAAAGAAATAAACCAACAATGCAGTCTCATTTATGGACTTAACACTGTTTTACACTTGACTTTCTCCAGACAAACAAAGATGCTTGGAGCTTTGACTTCTCTTCTCGTCGGCTCTCTGCTGCAGGGTGAGTTCAAGAAACTTTTTTTTTTTTCTCATGGTCTAACAAAAACTCTGTATACATTCAGTAGATCACTGAATTTTCTTCTTTAAAGAGTTGTGTTTTGCATTTCAGGTGTCCTGTGTGGAGAGTGGAGTTCCTTTATGCCACAATCTGTAGAAGTTGTGAAAGGATCCTGTGTCACCATCCCCTGCTCCTTTGACATAGCGAATGGCTTTGACACAAACCTAAACAATGAATGTGAAGCAATATGGAAGAATACAGCAAATGATCCAAAGTTAACTACAACTAAAGCAATGACAGGAGACTTAACAAAGAAAGACTGCACCTCAACCTTCGATAATATTACTCCTGATTACAGCGACCAGTATTTCTTCAGACTGGAGTGTCCAAATCCACTGATAATGAGTTTTACAGGAACTCGTGTGCGTATAGTAGTTACAGGTAGGTTCTTACATCCATTTACAGACAGTTCACAAAGTATGATTGCAGAGCCGCCTTGACCTCGTTTTGAATTTACTGCATTTTACAAATCACATTTAAAATCTTAAACTGTTGTTCATTCATTGTCTAATCTAATCTTCCATCCAGATGTTCCTCCCACACCGACCCTGACTCAGTCTCCTCTGGAGGTGAAGGAGGGATCCTCAGTGAGTCTGACCTGCTCTGCTCCGGCTCCCTGTTGGACTCATCCTCCAACTCTGACATGGACCCCCAGTCTGGGTGACGCTCNCAGAGCCCCAAGGTGTGCGATGGCCAACAATTGTACAGCGAGGACCCGACCAACGCTGCTTACAGCTTTAATTTAAGATAAAATTACTCTACGAGACGTTTTTTTTTTCATTTGTAAAGTTTAATTATTAGTCATGACAAAAGAGTTTTCAGATAAAATCTTAAAATATCACATTTAAAACTGATGTTCAACAGCTTAAGGAAAGAAATGAACCAACAAATGTGATCAGTTTCTTCTATAAACTTAACACTGTTTTACACTTGACTTTCTCCAGACAAACAAAGATGCTTGGAGCTTTGACTTCTCTTCTCGTCGGCTCTCTGCTGCAGGGTGAGTTCAAGTCATTTAACATCTATGTCTGTGTGAAGATGATTGAAAGTTAAAATAATAAACTCTTGCTAATCTGAAAGATTCATACTTTGGTACTTTAATATCTATAACAATATCATTCAAAATAAAAGATGCAGCAAACTTCCAAAATCTCTGGTTTGGCATTTTCTTAAATGTTTAACAGGATTTTTTTTTTCTCTCAAGCTCTACCAACATCTCTGTATAAATTCAGTAGATCACTGAAATTCCAATAGTTTTGTTCGTTTTCTTCTTTAAAGAGTTGTGTTTTGCATTTCAGGTGTCCTGTGTGGACAGTGGAGTTCCTTTATGCCACAATCTGTAGAAGTTGTGAAAGGATCCTGTGTGACCATCCCCTGCTCCTTTGACATAGAGAGTGAATATGACCCATACCTAATTAATAAATGTGAAGCAAAATGGAGGAAGAAAGATAGCGAAACCGAGATCGCTGCTAAATATCAGATGGAAGGAGACTTAACAAAGAAAGACTGCACCTCGACCTTCAATAATATGATTGTTAATAACAGCAACCAGTATATCTTCAGATTGGAGTGTCCAAATTCACTGAAATGGAATTATAAAGAAAGATTTGTACATATGACAGTTAAAGGTAGGTTCTTACATCCATTTACAGACAATTCA